CAGATCACCGGCCTCATCCTCTGGCGAATCGAGCGATTGAGCAGATTGTTCCACGCTAGGCCAACACAGAGAATGCAAACAACAAGTGGGCATGGGTCTTGATGGATCCGTTGAGCTCTACGATGCATTGACCTGCGTTACGCATGCCAGGAACTACATGGGCAACAAGCCAGGACTTCTTTTGATGGCTATGTTCCCGAACCATGGGAAGGCACGTTTCGAAATTGCGTTCGTGTATCCATCCGTGGACGGGACATATCATGAGCGCAAGGCAAGGGGAGACATGGTTCCAAGAAAGCGATGGATCGACAATCTCAACTCCAGATCCGCATACGATGCACTCCGGCCTAATGGCAAGGAATTACTCAATGATCCTGACATGGAGTTCTACGTGAGATGCAACAGCGGTCACACACGACAAGTCGATCTCCAATCTTTTGGACGACCCCTGTACTCCGAGCAGAAGAGTGAGCCTCGCCAAGAAGAACCGGACTATGATCTTCCAACGGAATCCATTCCTCCAAGTCCGCATCCGTCAAGATCAGACGCGCCCCACGAAGACGAAGGCACAGCTCAGGCAAAGTCCAGAATGCGAAGGCCGGCACCTCAATCCATTGAAGAAGAGAGAAAGATCAAGCCGTTCGCGAAGAAGCCCATCACTTTCATGTTCCATGCTACATATGGAGAAAATCTGATCAGCATCATGGAGCACGGGCTGAAATCTGGGAGATCCCAGTCGAACCCTTCGGGGAGAGTGCCATCCACATGGCATGCATCGACGACGTTATCCTTGATGACGAAGCGTCAGAAGCCGCATTGACACATGTGCCAACAGGAAGAGATGCTTTGTTGATCCTGGCATTCCTCAAGAACCAGGACTACGACATCCGACTCTCCGAAGAGCGAACAGCATTGACAGATCAAACCATCGAGGCGAGGAACATTGTTACAGCATTTGATCCCGTGGGAACCATCATAATGAGTAACAGTTGGATCATGAAGAAAAATCTCGGTCGTGAAGACATTGAGATGTACAACAGCAAGATCCAAGAGTTCGCCGATGCCTTCTTCAAACATGTGAAAAATGACCACCAAAACAAGGAAAGGTCTGAAAAAGATACATCCACAGAGACCAAGAAGCGACGGCACTCCACCGATCAGGACGAGGTTGAAGAGGAGAACATGGAACCCTCCGGGGAGAGATCCGTCAAGCCAAAGGTCACCATGGAGTATCCAAATCGTGAGAACTACCTCAAAATAGAAATGAGCAAGAAGGACGCCGAGGAAGAGCTTGTGGAGACCAAAAAGGACTTCCTCCATTTCATGGAGAAGTACAACAAGGATCCCAGAACAGCTCATCCTAAATTGACAGAATGCGAAAGAGCCTCATTGGCACACGTTGATCCCGATGTCAACCTCGAAGAAGAAGAGTTCTATTTCCGCCAGGACGAGTACCGGAAGGCACAGCCAGTATCAGGATATCCGATTAAGCTTCCACTGGGATTGAAGAAGCTTAGATCACATGACAACCCAGAAGTCATTCGAGCATTTGCCGACATCCTGGGATCGCTGATGCAGCCGACCGACCGTCCCTCTGTGGACCATCTCAAGACGCATGAGTTCACCTCATCCCTGACGATCAACATGCTTACTATGAACCATGGAAACCTCACTAGGAATCCAAAGCTGGACGGCAGGGAGGTGTACAACATGGCGATGAAGGACCGACCAATCGTGAAGATGATGATGCAGAACAGCGCACACATCTTATGCCTCAATGAAGCAGACGCATTCCTCAGTCCTCAAGATGATAAATCCAGAGAACTCATCAAGACGTTCATCCGATTCGGGTACAAGGGCATCGTTATCAAGCAATGGTCATCCAGACCAATTGCATGCTTTGTCCGCGGCGGACCTTCCGCAAGAGTGGAACTATTGGCAAGACACATTTCCACAAAGAGTCAGAATTGGGGAACCACATTCGGGATGTTCAGATGTTTCTTCGGAACCGAGGAAAATTGCACTGATCCTGAATACGACATTCCGACCTCGGACTGCCTGGCAACTACGGGACCATCCATGTTTACTGAATCCAAGAAGTACATCGGACCGAGATTGCCACCACGCACCACTGTCCAAGGACACGGACGTAACAAAGAGATTGTCGTTCTCCACATCGAGCAGAGTGACGAGTATCGTGGTATGCTCCCAAAATCATCCAACAAATCACTCCTCGAGTTTGACAGCCGCCACGTAACGAGGGCAGACCTCCCGTTTGCTACCATTGGAGTTTTCCACATTCATCCATCAATCAGCCATGGAGCAGCACGGGAAGATCTTCAGAACGAAATCCTGCCACTCGTCACATTGTACCAATGCGATGCGATCACTGGAGACGCCAACAAATCCGCGAATACCTACAGCAGACTCCAGCACGTCTTCAATCCGGCCAAAGGTCTCATGAATATCCTCATGAAGGAATAGCAGAGATTGTGGAATGAAACGGAGAATCTGCCACTCGTGGACAGAACGTGTGCAATGGAGACTTCATGCACCCTAAAATCCATTGTCCGTCATCACTTATACATGAAGACTGGATCAGGGTATGACCGAACATTCCCAGATGTGATGATGACATTCGTGTTTGGATGGGGCAAAACGAATATCCAGCAGGTTTTCCGGAAGGAAGAGATGAACGCCATGAGAGATGAACAACTGGAAGCCATGCGGAACGATCCAACGTCTGCCATTTTCGACTATCAGGTCTCATCCGCGGAACGCTTCAAGCACGTGAACGACGATATGTTCATGAATGGCTCACAAGATTCCGACTCGCACAGTCCGCTCATGGTCTACATCCGCAGTAGATCTGCCGCCAGGCAACGCAACTTGAGAGATCCAAGGAGCACCTCAAGAAGAAGCAATCTTGGACTCAGCAAGAGTACAAGCAATGGAAAGACTATGGCGACTGGACCTGGAATGATTATGGAGACTATGGCAGTCAATCCGACAGCAGCCGCCGGTGGTACCGCTGATTACTTGATGAAGCAGCCACCTTTCGCACTTATTCGACCGACTGAGAAGACTCCCACGATCGACACTACGAACTACAACCAGATTGATCCTCACCGCCAACAAGACTATTCAGTGAGAGAGCAATATTTTCACATCCGTCCCGCATGTACATAGCGTTGTGCATCACCTTTTCGGTACATCTAGGTATCTCACAGAATCAGTACAGACTGTTTACCATTTTGCTCACAAGACAAATCATCCGCACCAAAATTGGATGAATCATTGTAACAATACATGGCTACGGCACTTTCAAATATGGCTACGGCACGTAAGGCCAAGAAGCCAATCATACACTTTGGTGTGAAAGGTCAAAAGAAATTTGTGTCTGTTTTGTGTTGCTTTTTGTTGCACATTGACCTATTCACACACTCCGCTGACATGATGGCTCAAGGCCCTTCAAGTCATTTGTACAGTCATTCGGCTCATGGTACATTGATAAAAAGGCTTGCAGACCGCTTTACAGGATTCACAGTCAACACAAGCCACCAGGGACAATCCATCCTCCAATCCTCCATATTGGCATATTGGACTCTCTCCGGAATAGATGCAGGGACCAAATCAACGACCTCTACTACCACAGAATACCAGTTCTCTTCTGGGATAGGCACCCCGGCAGTGGGTCTCACCCCCCGCCCCCCACCCGCGAATTGTCACTCCCGAATCCCTCAAAGTACCCTGCCTCCACCCACCAACCCACCAGTCCCTCATGCTCCCCACGGCGAAGCTCACAGCCCAGTAGCCGTTCACCTTAAAATGGGAGACGCAAAGCCAAAACCAAGAGAAAGGCGTGGCCAAAAGCAGTTTGAAACTGTACGCCGGCCTGCTCACGCATTTGCCTTTTCAGACCCACCTGGCCCTACCAACATGGCTCATTTGAATATGGTCGGGTTTGAGAGTCCTGGTCTCCGTTCAAGGTCGCTTAGCACCTGTGTTTAGATCCTGGCCCGAGAAAGCTGAGGGCCTGGTCACGTTGCGCCGCAAGCTCAGTAACCACTGTGAAATGTAACCGAACAAAAATCGAAATCAAACCAGCACCGCGCAAAAACAAACAACACAAAGGAACATTTTCACTACACAACAATCAATGAAAAAGGGCGGAAAGAACGCATCGAACAATGCGCTCGCAATAAACGGCACAAAGACCCCCCCAAAAAAAACAAACAACAACAACAACAACGATCACCACGAACAAGCATCAGCCAAACACACAAGCAAACCAACACAAACAGCCGACCAAGTTTCCAAAAAAACCCACCTACCCACCCACCCACCCACCCGCCCACCCGCCCACCCGCCCACCCGCCCACCCGCCACCCACCCACCCACCCCCACCCACCCACCCACCCACCCACCCACCCACCCACCCAACCAACCAACCAACCAACCAACCAACCAACCAACCAACCAACCAACCAACCAACCACAACCACCCACAACCATCCACAACCAACCAGAACCAACCATAACCAACAAACTGAGGGAGCAAGCGAGAAAACTCTGCTGGCAAATTGTCAAGGTCACGGCGGCATTGGCAGCCTTCTTCTCACAAGGCCAGCAGGCCGTGCCAATCAGAATGACGTGTTCAGTCGCAATGTGAATGAACAGCCACAAAACTCACAAAAACAAGTAAGGAAGCAAGGAAGCAAGGAAGCAAGCAACGGACCATCAAACATGACAGATCAAGGCAAAAAGACGCTGCAGACAGCAAGGCGTCACAGCAAAACTAAAATAGTTCAGGAGAGCAAGAAGAGCACACTTCAAACAAGTAACAGGAGAATGCGCATCAACAACACGACTCAACACAACACAATGATACAGAACGAAAGAAAGTCACGCAAGGCGCAAGGGACACAGCAAACCACAAAACACAACAGCGCAAACATAACAAACAAGCATTCCGCTCTGGGCCCTGTGGTCAGAGACGCATCCTTGAATTTGACCACCACCATCGGCAGGTCGACCGCCACAAGGCTTCCGTGCGCCAACTCAGCAGCGACCTCCTCCACGCGCCGGCCCTTGAGCACGCCGTGGCTGAACTTCAAGCCCACCGTCGCCTCGCCAACTTGCGGCAGGATGGCTGCGTGTTGCAAAGGGAACCAACATAATACTAATCAGAACCGTGTAAGCAAGCTGTTCCAACCAATGAGCTAACGACAGCCCAACGCAACACCAGAATCAAAGTAGCCAAACACCCCAAGTCTGAAAGACTGTCTCTGGGCGTGTGGCCAACCAGCTACAGGGCGCAGCTTTTTGAGATGCGCCTGGGTGAACCGAATGTTCGCGATGGGCATCTCGCGCCTGTCTGCTAAGCCGTGCAGCACCTCCGCGCCGTTGTTGGAGTAGCAAATCCTCAGCGGGTTTTGTTGGAGCAAGCAAAGGGTTTCTGCAAATGGAAGCACAACTTTGGGAGGGGGGGTGTGGGAGAATTCCGACTTTCACCGAAAACCAACAAAGAATAAAGGGCTCCAACAAGTCACATCAAGTTCTTTGGCTGGGGCCCTTGGAAACCAAAGCTGCAAGCTGCTTGGCTTTGGGCAAGGATCTCGTTCAGGAGCTGACTCACCAGCGGCAGGGAAGGGATTGCGAAGGCCCGGTCCCGGCCTGAACTTCAGCATCGTCTACTTGCTGTTGGCGGCGCGTAATTATCTTACTATTCTTTTTCTTCGCCGCTCAGTTTCCAAGGCTTAAAATTTCAGTGATGCAAACGTCTCTGATCTTGCTCAAATCCCAACTCGGTTTTGGCGGCCACGCCTTTGCCATCTTCTCCCTCCCCCTCGGTGGGCTCCTCGCCGCGAAGGCGCGGGAGCTGGGGCAGCGGGCTGGAAGAGTCGCCTGGAACGGTCGGATTTTGAACCCCGGGCCGCCAGATTTTTCGAGGCGGACATTCACAAGTCTCGAGGCGGCAGTTCTCCTTTTGAAAACAAGCCACACAAAGAACAACACATGTGTATGTTCTTTAAAGAACTAAATTACAAGCCATGCCCCGAGTGTAGATTGCCGCTTCAATCAAATGTTTCTCCTTGAGAGGTGCCGGCTAAGCTTCGTTTAATATGGCACGTGGCAGAGAGTGCCTGCGCGTTTGCAAGAATTCTTAGAAAGCGTTAGAAACACTCTGGACAAGCAGCTGTTTATTCATTGTAGCATTGCCAAGGTCCGCTGCTCTTTGCGCAAGTTGCGTTCTTTGTCTGGGTGGGCGCAAGTGCGTGCGGCGCATCAGGTAAACGCGCCCCTGCCAGGCGACGCAACGAGTGGATGTGGCGCGGGCAACGCTCTCGTGCGTTTGGGCAACACCAGAGCAATCTTGGATCTCGGTTCCTCGTTTGGAAGTTGCACGGCGGCTTAAAGCTGCTAAAACCGGGGCTAAGCTGTGATCTTTTGAAGCTCGGTACGCCTTGACGGGCGGGCTAACAAATCTACACGAGCAAGCTGCAAGCCGCTACCTTTAGACGACTGGTTCTTGCAACATTTCAGGGGCTGAGATCTGAGTGAGAACTCTATGTAACTATGTATCTATATATATATATATATGTACGTGTTTATCTATTATATGTATTAGTTCTAAAGCCACCTTTGGTTGGCCCACTTCCTTGCCTGGGTTCTGCTTCTGGTGCTTGGGCGGTGCCTCGGTGCTGGGCTCTGGCGGCGGTCGCTTCAGCCCATGCCCGTGAGGCTCGACTTGTGCGCTCGGCAGGGCGAGCATGGCAGGTGGGCCGTGTGCGCATTGCCTTGGCCTCTCCTTGGTGCTGGCTCTGGTGACGTGTGAGACTTGCCCTGCCAACTGACTTGGTTGAGTCATGAAAAGTAAAAGCCGATCGCCCGGGTTGTAAACGCTTGAAGAGCTAAGTCTCTACAATTCCGAGCTTCACCGCAGACGGGTTCACAGGTTCAGTTGCAGCGGCTGGCGGTGTTGCTTCGACGGGGGCAGCTGAAAGAGCCAGGCCTAAAGCTTTCACAAAGAATTCTTCCAGACTTTTAAATGACTTCCTCCATTTCCATGGCGGGAACAGATCTTGGACCTCCTCCCAGGAAGTCTGCGCAACTTCTCTCTTGACAATCTGGTTGGCCTCCAAGATCCAAATACCGGTCTCCTGGGTGTGCGCAATGGCGCTGGTCATGCAGTCCGGGTCTTCGTGCCACACCTGGCTACAAAACCCCGTTTTCTTGAGGGTTCAAGCTGGGTCAACTCTTTGAATTGTTTTTTGGGAGCGGCCATTCCAGCTGCCTTTTTTCCTTGGGGCTCCCTTGGTTCAGAGGGAGGAAACCCTTGCCATCTGGTGGAGGTTCTCTTGTGGCAGGCACAACGCTGCTTGACAATGAGTTGCAAGGGAACCCAACAAAAGAGCCCCTCTTGAGAAACAAATAACTCTCTGAGTCGCGCTAGGGTTGGGTTCATCCCTTGAGCATATTGAGGCTCCCCGACAAACAAAAGGTGGATGTCAGTCAATGTAGCACCGCCTCCGCCGCGAAGCGGTAGGCCGCTTGCAGCGTGGTCTCCGCCCGCGCGGCACGGCTAAGCAGCGAAAGCACCATAGGGCCCGACGGCTCAGTAGTCACACCCAGGCGCTCGGCCAAGGCCGCCAGGTCTGCGGATTTCCCCACCTACGGCTCCCTACCCCGAAATCCTCGTTGGAGCCTCGAATGCTGTTGGCTTTTGGAACGGACCAGGCAAGGAGCATGTGGAAGCAAGTCTCGTTCGAATGCAGGGAGAGCCAAGGCGGATGCAAGATGAGCATCTGAAGGTCACAGGGTTGATTCGTGGTGATTTGTGCTGCAAGTGAGCACCAGGGTCATGCCTCCACCAAAGCTGAAAACAGACTGCCGGCACAATGGCAGTTATTTTTGAGCTTGACAAATCGCGCATGCTGCGTTTGCCACCATTCCTGGGTTGAACGGCCACTGGTGGGATGTACCCTACATAAAGCCCACAGAGACATGAGCCACTTAATTAACCAGGGAGCCGTCATTCATGCACGCCCCGCCAGGGGGCTTGGATTGCCTTTGAAAACCAGCCTGGCCTCCACCACTTCCGGACCCAGGAAGTGCTCGAACTTGGGCCCAAAGCACTGCTCGAGTTGCCGCGTCGTGCCGGCGCGGTCTTCGATCTCGCAGCGCCGGCGCAGCGAGCCCAAGTCTCGGGCCGCATAGACGTCCAGCACCGCGTTCCTTAGGATAGGAATTGGCCACAAAAAAAGCGAGGGGAAATTAACACAGGCCAAATGGAGGCAAGAAAAACAATGCTTTAAGTCGATCTGCTTTTGCAACTGAGAGTCATATGCTGTACAATGTTTCGCACCTCGCAGGGCTGCCGTTTTGCGACCATTCTTTGGCGAGCGGCGCATTCGTTACAAGCCGGTCTCGACCTAGTTTCGAGGACAGGCGATGCGTTGACATCAAGAAGCAAAAGTCACAACATAGAGACGTTTACGTAAGTTGCCGAACCTACAGTTGTTCAAGCAAGTGAACGAACAGCTCCAGATGGAAACCAGCCATCGGCTTGGACACGGCCGCCTTGAAGATGCCTTTGGGCAGCTTCAGTGTCTCTGCTTTGGAAACCTGGGCGCCGAAGCGGAGGAAGACCAACTCCCACCAAAGCCGAGCTTTCATGCCGTCTTCGCCAGGCGGCTCCTGAGCAACGCGGACTGAACAAGTTTCTTCTCGAGTGACTGACTTGCTGCCTTCTGCTTGGAAGGAGGAAGAATCCCAAATGCCATGCAATGATCCTACTTTGACGCTTTCTTCTTTCCGCGCTTCCGGTTTGGAATGCGGATTGGTTTGACTTCACAGGCCCCTCCTTGAGCACACGGCTCCGGTCGTAGTTTGCGGTGCCAGGTTTGCAGCCCAGCAGGTAGGGGCTTTCCAGCTCCCGGGCCTCATGCAGAAGGCCCATGCAGGAAGGCACCAGCAGACTTCTCATCAAGCCTTGCCAAATGATCCCACTTGTCAAAAGATAGACTGACATGAAAGAAGGAAGATGCCCGGCCTGTAACCACACTTTCCTTTTCTTAACTTTGAAATACAAACGAATCTTCACAGAAATGAGACCCTTCAACCCAATTGGAACAAGCCAAATGAATGATGGCCCCGAACACTTGGCGACTACTTGTCCAGGTGAGCCTTCCATCTCCTCCGCGCTCCGGTTCGCAAGCCATCTGTCTGCAGATGAACTGTTCAAGATCTCCTGCCAGCGTCGTCCCAAGTATGCCAGGTTTGTCCACGAGAAGCGGTGGTCCTCACAGCGGGTGAAAGACGCTTGTGCCATCGCTTCCCCGAGCGCAATAGGGGATTTAGGATTTGTGAAAAACAGGCAGCCGTCAGGAATGCTCCACGGCTTGCACGGAACTGCAAGGCCAGGTCCTCTGTCTCTGTCAGCCCCAAGGTCTGCTTCACAATTGCATGGGCAACATCTCGGTGCGTGGCCTTGCTGCCGCAGCCCAGCAGTTTCAGCAGCTCTTTGTCGGCTGGGCACGCGGAGGCCTTGTCCAAAACCCGGAGCAAGTTCGCCGGAGCGCCCTTCGGCACTGAGGAGAAGATGTGATCTTCGCCGCAAGCTGTCCATACGATAGACTCGGCGAGTAGGAAGAGAGGGGCTTGGCGCAACGCCAGCAGATCCAAATCCTGGCACTTGGCCAATGCCTTCACCACATCCTTTCGCCAGGCGGCGCCACGGCTTTGGAAAGCCGGGGGACCATCCTTTACAACCCTTGACGTGGGCTTGCAAAAACCTTCGTTCTTGCAACCCCCTGCTAAAAATGAACAGAACCAAAAACAACCCCAAACCTAAAACCTTGCCAACAACAGTGAAGCATCGTCTTTCGAAAGGCTGAGAAGTTGGAAAAAAAAAAAGAAATGAAAAAAAGAAAAAAAATAAAAAAAAGAAAAGAGTTGGATCAGGTCGCTGGCATCGAACTCTGCCATGCCGGTGTCCGTGCCCGCCAGGTGTTGCATGTACTCCTTCACGGGAAGGCCCAAGCCAAGCAGCCCCAAGTCCGCAGCTGTGAGGCGCAAGGCGGCCAACAAGGGCGAGTCCGGTTTTCTGCAGCGATTGATTGGGAGCAGCCCTTTAGCGCCATCCGTTTGAGTGACTGGGATGAGTGGCACCTCTCGCAAGCCGGACCGCACCCGTTGCACAAAGGGTGCCCAGAAGGATGTCTGGGCTAACTCAAGGCCGGGCTGCAGCAGCCAAGCCCGGATCGACAAGCTGTCGGTGCTTTGGGTCGTGCTTTGGGCGACTGTGGTGAGCCAAAGCTCGGCTAGAGCATCTCGAAGCCGCGCATTCCTCACATTCTGAACGTAAAAAGATAAAGCCAAACCTGCTTGCAATCTTTCGACCTACGCCTGTACGATTGCATGCGAAGCACCAACCATTCTATAAAGCTATTCCTAGCGACGCATGCCAAGGACTTCTTACATCCGAGCGACACTGCTGCGCGGCACTGGCAAGAGGCATTGCTAGGACAATGAGCGGCACTTCTGCGGGGCTTGCTCAGCTATTTTGAGGAAACGCGCTACGCGAATCTGCTGAAAGACGCTTTTTGGTGACACTTCCAAAAACATGTTCAGCTCTTCTTTCAAGCAACATTTGGGAGACGCTGTTGCCCGGCACTGGAGGTCAACGTTTCAGTTGAGGCACCAATGGCTTCTCAAAAAAGGATGCTTCTGACCGCCGCTTGAAATCCCAAAGCCTAAGACACGCAAGGACACCTTTGCAGGGACTTTTGTTGTCGGTTTGCTGAGGCTCCTCTCGCTGTCCATCAAGGCCTCCCGGTTGGCAGTGAGGTCGAAGGGGGCGTTCAAAGGTGTCCGGAGGCCCGCCAGCTGGGACAGCGGCAAGGTGGTAGACACTGCGGCGCTCGCAGGGGCTGCGCCATGCAAGGGGAAGGCGATGGACAAATCGGAGGCCTCCCGCAAGGAAAATGGAAAACCTGAAGTATGAGTGGAAGTAAACTTCTCGAAGAAGGGCTTAAACCGCCTAAGATCTAGACCAGCGGTTGTCCGTGTGTTGCCTTAGCCACGAAGTACTTGTGCTCGCTCTCGCTGTGATTCACACCGCGCGTCGTGACTCCTATGGTCACGAACCCTTCTGGCGGCCCGTGGAGGGCATACGTGAGCACATCCCCAAGCCTCTCAACTGTGATGGCTCGCACCTGCCGCAGAAAAAGCAGAAGAGTAGGGTCCTCAGTGCGCGTGAACCATGCAAAGTTGGGCCCTCTTTCAAAGTCACGAAGATCCAATGGAACACTGACTTCGCCAGGTCTGAGCAAAGGGCCTGCGCGTGCAACTGAGCGCCGCGCCACTTCGTCCAGCAGGTCTGGGAAGGCTTTTCGCAGCGGGAGGTAAATTGCAGTGCCATGTTGCGGCAGAGGCTGGGGCGTCTCCACATGTGCAGGTATCACTTGGGGTGTCACCTGTCAGAAACTGGCCCCAACAAAAAAACACTAGAAGAAGGGTTGCCCGCAAACATTTTCCATCGGTCCAATATTTCCAACTATGCATTTCAGTATCTACTCTGTGCATGCCTCTATGCATTTCACTGTCTACTTTCCCTGTGCATGATTCTATGCCTATGCCCTTCACTCTGCACTTGCCCTACGCATGCCTCGATGCATTTCACTGTCTACTTTCCCTGCGTGCCTATATGCATTTCACTGTCTACTTTCCCTGCGCATGCCTCCATACATTTTAATGTCTAATGCAGTTCACTGTCTCCTTTCCTTATGCATGCCTCTATGCACTTGCCTCTGTACTTGCCCTATGCATGCCTCTATGCATTTCACTGTCTACTTGCCCTATGCATGCTTCTCTGCATTTCACTGTCTACTTTTCGACTTTGCAGCTGGAGCTGCGGGGACGAGCTTCGCGTACTACTTTTGTACTTGAAAGGTTACGACTTTGCAGCCGGAGCTGCGGGGACGTACTTTGCGCACTACCAGAGCGAGACACGCACGATCCACGCAGAGGGTCGCGCGCCTGCCGCAAGCAAACAAGATACTAGTTTTATGTTAGCGTGCAAGTTTCCTCGTGCAAGTTATGCTCGTGCGAGAAGGAAAGCAAGATCGCTACGCATTTCACTGTATACTTTCCCTTTGCATGCCTCTATGCATCAAGCTCTCTACTTTCCCTGCGCATGCCTCTATGCATTTCACTGTCTGCTTGCTTTGTGCATCCATCTATGCACTTGCCTCCGTACTTGCCCTATGCGTGCCTCTATGTATCTCACTGTCTACTTTTTCTGTGTACGCCTCTATGCATTTCAGTGCCTACTTTCCCCGTGCATGCATCTATGCGTTTCACTCTGTACTCGCCCTATGCATGCCTCTGTGCATTTCACTGTGCACTTTCCCTATACAGCCCTCTATGCATTTCACTGCCTACTTTCCCTATGCAGTTGAGCTGTGCAGAACGCAACGACTTTACCGGAAGAACCCTTCGCAATGCTTTCGGGAACAACCCGCCTGTGGCAAAGGACATGACGCCTCCTCATCGAAGAAGAAGCGGAAGGGATTGGAGAAAACGTGTGGCCGGGCAGAGAGCACGAACGACGCCTTGAATCCAATGCCCTTCTGCCCTGTCTGACCCAATTGTTTCGTAGAGGCGCCGATGTTGCAAAGAGCTCGGACATCTTCGAGCAAAAAACCCCCCTCGTTGTACTCCAGCCACAAGTACTTAGAAGCGTGGACAATTCTGACCCTGGGCACATCCTGAAAACTGCAGTCGTCTGCATTCTGCAGGAGCTCCCACAACGCCCGCACAGGCCCGGAATAGAGCTCTAGTGAAAAGAGTTGCAGGGATTTGCGGAGCATTCCCGCCATCAAGGGGTGAATGCTTTGACAAAGCTCGTTCTTCAGAGCCAGAATCTGCTCATCTGCGCTGGCATCCTGGAGCTTTGGGCTCGGATCCTTGCTGTGCGAGAAATGTCTGGAACGCAGGATCATTTTGGCATCACCCACCTGAAAAACATGACCAAGCCGCATTTTGGGGAACCCATTCTGGGGTTCTAACAATGGGTTCCTAGGATGCAACGTCGTGTGATTTTCTTGCTGCGCAAGCTGGAACACCCCCGATGAATTAGAATCCGTTTCGGGCCCCGGCATGGATCTCTCAGGTTTGACACCACCCCTTGTCAGCTTCCTGAAAATGGCCTGTTTGCAACGCGGACGTGCCATGCGAGCCAAGCCAGTAGCCTGGCAAACCGGTTCGGATGTCCCTTCAGAACTTGACCTTGGGCTCTGAGCTTCGACTGATGAAACGGAATTCAAACTTGGAAGTTCAGGGTTCGGAGAAGCAGCCAAGATAGCGCCGAGCATCTGCCGACCTTCGTCAACCACCGGTTGTTGGGTGTGGTCGGCTTCTGGCGCCAGCCTCACGCGCAAAGCCGCCACGTCCTGCGAAAAACCAAAAAACGGAAGTACGAGAGCTTGCTGCACCCTTGGGAAAAAGGTAAAGGCTGCTGGACCTCCAGGAAAGTTTCAGGAAAGTTCATGGGCACCTTCTTCTAGAGAAGCGGTTTGCCGCCTGGAAGGCTAACTCAACACTCCAGAATCTCTAGAAGGCTTCTTTTGTAGCAGAAACTTCTCGAAAAATGGGGACCCCTTTCGGATTCAATTGTTGATTGCTGTTCAACGCTTTGCATTCTCCGTCTAAAGGCGCACCCTAATCGGCTCCCAACAAACACCTCTCAGCACGCAGTCTTCAAACCAGTTCCCAAATCAAGAAACTTCAGCCACCAGCTGGATATACTACTCACTTACCAAGTAGTTCCTATGGGACAGCTTCTCCCATTCGCCTTGAACCAGTGATCTTAGGAACGATTCATTTGGGGCGACCGTGTGGCATTTTGCAACAAGTACATGGTGGTGGAGGTATTCTCTGTGTGTCTACTTCTTTGGCCGTGGGCACGTCACCCGCCAAACACATGCCGGGGCGTGGGGCCGCTTTTGGAATCAAAACACATCTGAACTGATGACGGCACTCAAAGGAAGGGGCCTGCAAAAACTCAAATATCCATCCGTTTTCGACGTTGAACACTTGTGTGCTTTGTAGTGCAATGGAGAAAAACATATTGTGCTAGGGGTGAGGTGCGCCGATTTCGCAGAAAAGAGCGTCCTCTCGCAGCTTGGCGTTGGCAGCTTCCAGGACCTTTCGCATCGAGCGTTGATTTGCGTGATGACCCATTCTCATGGAAAGAGGGATCTTCAAGACCCTAGCTGAGCTCCTTGCTTCCCAGCGCTA